ATAAAAGAAATAATTTCCCTATGGCACCCAAAGGCTGAATCAACAACATCAGCCCTGCCCCCCCCCACTTTTCAGGCAAAGGGCTTGTTTTCACAAAGCAAAAGGCCTTACTCCTGCACAAACAGTGCAGCCAAGATACAAGGACGAGGAGGGGTAAGAGCTTGGCGACTGCAGATAACTTAGCGACTGACTCATGCGTGGCAGAGAAATGCTCATTACTCGGGGAACAGCATGCTCCTTCGTGGCACTATAGAATTACCACCTCAGCTGAATTTAGCCTGATTCAAATATATCAAAATACCAACAGTTAACTTGGTATTTCACAGCCTGGCCTCGCAGATGAGTGGCAACGGAACTTCTGTGAGCTCCCCCAACATTCCTTTGAGGGGAGGATGAATTCCAGGCCTAGCAAAAGCCACTGGACAAATCACAGAATTGCCACTTCTGGGTTGGGAAATACCTGGAGATTTGGGGGGGGTGGAAGGGTTTGGGGAGGGGCAGGATCTCAGTAGGGTATAATTTCATAGAGTCCACCCTCCAAAGCAGCCATTTTCTCCAGGGGAGCTGATCTTTGTCATCTGGGGATAAGTTCTAATTCCAGGAGATCTCAACACTCCACCCAGAGAAAATGCAGGCTTCCCAAGTACTTACCGTGATTCGGCGGGGGACACAGACGTCCTAGCAGGATCATTTCTGCGGGGACAACAGACGTGCCGCACCATGCCATCGCCAGGAAGTGACGCCGGGTGACGCTCTGGCAATGGGGCTGGAAACTCGATGGTACCATCGAGTTTTCAGTCCCATTGCCAGAGCGTCGCCCAGTGTCACTTCCTGGCAACAGCATGGTGCGTTACAGGGAGAAATGGTCTGGCCGGGGAGCATGTTTCCCCCGCCAGATCACAGTAAGTACTTGGGAACCCTAAGAAAATGGCTGCTTTGGAGCCGGATAGATTCTATGGCCTCATACCCTGCTGAGGCCCCTTCCCTTCCCACACCCCACCCTCCTCAGGCTCCACCCCCAAAGTTTCCAGGTAGTTCCCAACCCAGAAGTTGCAACCCGATTCAACTCCCTGTCCTCCGCTGAGTTTATTGTCAACATTTCTTAAAGAAAAGTTTCAAGAAACAAACTCTTTACTTTATTCAGTGGGGCTCAAGGCAACATAGACAGCCTTCCCAAGTAAAACAGCTTCCTAGGTCTCTGCTAGCTTCCGTATGCTACAAATGTTACCAAGGCTAGTCAAACCCAATGAAATATAATTTATTTTCTTCATGGAGGTACATATTTGTCAAGAACCACAAAGGGCTAAAGTTCTCAAGCTGATAGTTGCCATATTGCTTGGAAATCCAGGAATTATTCACCACCACCCCCTCCCCAGCATATGCAGCCATTGGCTCCCCTAAGATCATTTCTCTTCTCTAGCTGTCCATTAGTCTGATGTGCCTTAAGTGACTCTGGACAATTCACCACTTCAGATTCCGGTTTGCATGTGTAAAATCGGAATAAGAGCGACCTACCTGATAAAGCTACGTCCTTGTGAAGCACCTTAAAGCTTCATGGCATACTGTGAGGCATGATATTGGCTCTGAGAGAAACCCTGTTGCCGTGACACTGTCCCCTGGACTATGACGCTTACAAATAGGAATTTGACTCATACACTTCCTCATTCACTTTCTTCAGCAAAAGAGCAGGCTCCAAGGTGCAGCACGCTCCTACACTTTCACACTGCACAAATATTAACAGAGTTGTTATGTTAGCACTCTCCTCCAGAATATGGTCCTCACTCCTCAGAGAGCATTTGCTGATGCTAAGCAGAGCTAGATCTGTTCAGGGTCTATATAGGACACCTCCTGGGAACGGTGGAGTACACGGATTGGGTCTGGTGTCCCCACCTTGAGTAACAGTCTGGTCTAAGTTGCCTGTTCTCCTCAGTCCCCATGTGCACCATGTCTAGGGTTGCCAGTCTGCAGGTGGCTGGAGATCTTGCAAAATGGCAACTGGTCTCCAGGTTACAGAGATCAGTTCCCCTGGAGAAAATGTCTGTTTTGGAAGGTGAACTTTATGGCATTATACCCCTCCTGTCCCCAAACCCTGCTCTCCCCAGGGTAGGGTTGCTAGCCCCCCCCCCCCCCCGCCGTGGGACTTTCACCTTTCTCAGGGGCTCCTGCCCACCACTGGCCAGCTAATCAATGGGGGAAATCCCACCCCCCCAACTGCCACAACCTGCACAACGTCCCCAGTGTGATGATGTCACATGGAAGTGATGTCATCACACTGGGGACGTTGTGTGGTGACACTCCAGTATTTTGGGCAAAACTCTATGGTTTGTGTAATTAAGAGATAATTTAATTAAACTTAATTAACTTTAAATATGCTTAAGTACCTTAGCTGACCCCTATGAAATTTAACCCCCCCCCCAAAAAAATTCCTGGCTACAGGCCCGCCCATATCCTGATCTGACACTGGAGATTTGGCAGTAGTGCCTGGGGTGGGGAGGGAATTCAGCATGGATGTGATTGCCATACAGTCTGTTCACCAAGGCTGCCATTTCCACTAGGGGAGCTGATCTCTGTTGACAGCAGATCAGTTGTAATTTCAGGAGAATTTCAGAACCCTTCTGGAGGGCAGCACCTCAACTACTTCACCATATAGTTCCTCTTGGTTTCTTTTTCGCAGCTAAATCCAAATCCTGGGGATCTGATTATGAATGCCCCCCAAACACGTATTCTTTGGTTTCAGCCTTCGGTCTCAGCCTTTGTTTGAGACCTTGGAAAGCCGCTGAAAGTAGAGACATCACCCTGCCAACAAAAGTCCGCATGGTCAAAGCAATGGTATTCCCAGTAGTCATGCATGGCTGCAACAGTTGGACTATAAGGAAGGCCGAGCGCCGAAGAATAGACTCTTTTGAACTATGGTGCTGGAGAAGACTCTTGAGAGTCCCTTGGACTGCAAGAAGAACAAATCAGTCAATCCTAAAAGAAATCAACCCTGACTGTTCCCTGGAAGGCCAGATAATGAAACTGAAGCTCAACTACTTTGGCCACCCAATGAGAAGGGAGCACTCACTGGAGAAGACCCTGATGCTGGGAAAGATTGAAGGTCAAAGAAGACGGGGACGGCAAAGGATGAGATGGTTGGACAGTGTCATCGATGCAACGAACAGGAAATTGAGCCAACTTCAGAGGACGGCGGAAGACAGGAGGGCCTGGCTGTGGTCCATGGGGTCGCGAAGAGTCGGACTCGACTGTGCGACTGAACAACAAAAATAAGAACGAACGAACTCCAGCCACCAGATGGCGCCGCGGTCGCCAGCCCCGCAGAAGGAAATGCACAGGAAGAGGCGCTCTAGGCGCCGGCAAAAACGAAAGAGGCTTCTTCATGGTGCTTGGAAGAGAAGCGAGAGCGGAAGTCGGACGCCGGGCAGCGGTAACTTGGAAACGTTAGAGGGGCGGGAGGGAGCGGCTTCTGCTAGGAAAAAGGGTTTTCGAGGACTTGTCCTTTCACACGTAGGGAGGGGGTAAGCGGGTGGAAGCTGAATTTACTGCAGTTCCACCTTCCCCGGGAAAGTTCTCTGGGAGATGTAGAGCGCTTTGGGTTTTCAGAAACAGCACAAGGGCTCAACAGATTCCCTGGGTGGAGAAATAGAGTATATCCTGGGGGAGAAGGGTGCTTCATACGTACATACACACGTATGTATGTATACCGGAGTAATAAGCCCAAAATCAGACTAGGAAACAGTAAATACGTTCGGGGAGCCGGGGGACAGTTTTCGTTCTCACGTAACACGTGTTTAAGCGGTTAGTTGTCAGCTGATCTTGTAGAGCTCTCTGGCACTAGAGGCGGAAACTCCTCTGCCAGTGAGTCAGAGTAGATAATGCTAATCTTGATAGACCAGCGGTGTGACTCAGTGCAAGGCAGCTTCGTGTTTTGTAGCGCAACTCACAGTCAATGCTCCCTCTAAGCTGTGGAGTCTTGTGAGCAAAAATTCTACTTTGCGAGCTACTGGCATTAAAGTTGTGAGTGAGTGATTTGGCTACTGCCTGAATTAGTTCGCTCTGGAGCCATCCTTCTTGAGCTAAGACCAAAATGTGTGAGCCGGAGGCTAAAAAACTGTGAGCTAGCTCACACTAACTCAGCTTAGAGGGAACACTGCTCACAGTACGATCTGCCCCCCAGAAGTTTACATTGTTTTGAGTTCAGTGGGGCTTATTTCCAAATTGTTACGAACAGAATTGCAACAGGTGTTTACTTCAGGGTCTCTGAACACTGTGGAACCCTACTTTTGAGCAAACTGCATAAGATTAGGCTGTGATTTAAAAAAAAAAAGTAAAGGCAAATTTACGTAAGGTTGGGAATGGTGGTGGAAAGTGCCATCAAGTGGCAGCTGGCTTATGGTGAGCATGTAGGGTTTTCAAGGCAAGAGATGTTCAGAAGTGGTTTGCCATTGTCTGGCTCTCCATAGTCACCCTGGAATTCATTGGTGGTCTCCCCCATCCAACCTGGTTCCAGGATCTGATGAGATTGGGGTGGCCTGGGCTGTCCAGCTCAGGGCAAAGCTAAGCTGAGAATACTGGTGGCTTAGTACACAGGATACCAAGCATCCTTCTGGTCGCATCATTTGGGTTTCTTTGGAATATGATCTGCGGATTTTGTTCCGCTTATGCCGTTCTATAGCAGACTACAAAGGTTCTGTTTAAACAAGAACGGTGTTTCTTTGTGTTCAGCTGTGATGAGCCATGTGCTTTGGGAAACTAATTGCATCTGTTGATCAGAGGTGTAATGACTCTGAACGCAAAGGTTCCTTTTTTAGTTGTCATGACTAGTAACCAGTGATACTCCTAGCATCCATGTTTCATAGTGACTAATCATTTTTTAAGAAGGGTTAGTGGCTATTTCAACATCTCGTGACAATGATTTCCTGAAGCTGAATTATGCATTACGTAAAGAAACCCTTTTATTTGTGGCTGCGTAACTTTGAAATGACTGTGACCTGACAGTTGTGCTCCACCTATATGGGACAAGATGAGTGAGTGTGTACCAGTGCACCAGACAGATGAAGGAACACAGAGGCGAGCAGGGTATGTGTGGTGATGGTGCTTGAAGTGTCTGAAAGAAGGAGAGGAGCTTTAAGAAAAGGGTTCTGGGAGATCCACTCCATGAACTTGCTTCTTCATTACCTGTGCGGATTGTACTTACGGTCATGTGTATCTCATGAGTTAGACATAGCCCATCAAAAAGATCTGGCATGCTTGGGAGTTTTCTCCTGCATTCTCATCTTTTCAGAGAGTTTGACATTAGAGGTCTAAGTATGATCTGGTGGATTTCTCCCCCCCCCCCCAAATCCTCCCTTTTCTTCCCAATGGGGACCCAAAGCAGGTTACGAAATTGTTCTCCCCTTCTCCTGTTCATCCTCACAGCAAGCCAGTGAGGGAAGTTAGGCTGAGAGAGAATGATTGGCCCAAGGTCACTCTGCAAGCTTCCAAGTCAGAGTGGAGTCTCCCAAATCCTAGTCCAACACCATTGAAGCGGCAAATGCTCTTTGGTAGTTCTCCGCATGTTTAAAGTGCCATCAAGGCACAGCTTACTTATGGCAACTCTGTAGGGGTTTCAAGGCAAGAGACACACAGAGGTGGTTTACCAGTGCCTGCCTCTGCATAGTGACCCTGGACTTCCTTGGTGGTCTCCCATCCAAGGACTAACCAAGGATGAGCCTGCTTAGTTACTGAGATATGATGAGATCAGGCTAGTCTGGGCTGTTGAGGTCAAGGTAGATGAAATTTACCAGAACAATAACTAAGAGTTATAGCAGAAGTGAGAAACTAGAGCTCAGATCCCAATGTGGTCATACACTTACTGATTTTGAAATCCCGTATCTGAATGCGGCCTTGCCTAAAAACTTCTCGCGCAAAGACAGCATAGTATGGCTAAGCTAGAAACCTTGTCTTGTGGTGGTTCATGTTGGAAAGCTTAAAGTTTTGTACCTAATGGGGCGGCTGTTGCAGGTGCAGAGTTTTCGCCGTGGAATCCATTTCACATATGCACATATGTGTGTTCTGAGGTGATGCCATCCTGTGAGGACTGTACCATATGCCTTGGCTATATGTTTAAATTGGTGGTTGCTGATTGGTCTTAGGGAAATAACATTTTCTCTCTTTTAGTTTGCAGTCTGTGAAAGGGAAGTGTTGATACGGATAAACCCATGGGCTGATGAGGATACTGACAGTCATTGATAGATGTTGGTCTTGTGCTTTTTTCTTCAAGGAGCAGAGTTTTAGCCTCGTAACAACTGTGCAGTTGCCCAAACCTGCATAATATGCCTCATTGCTGAGTGAAGGTTTGAACCTAGGTTAAACTGAATGAAGTACATAGCAGCAATAATTGATTCATTGTTCTTCTTATCCCTACAGTTGCATCAGAGACCACACTCCCTGGTTCACATCAGCCCATGAATGACCCCATAGCTCTGAGGGAGACAGATCCCTGCGGCTGCTGGACTGTGGCAGGTGGTGCTTCTAGCAGCAGTTCTGGCCCCACAATGCCTCTATGTGCAGAGTTGTCTCCCGGAGTAGCAGAGCTGGAGCTGACCTCCAAACAATCTAGCTTGAGGGAAAGAAAGAATTCTCGTTCTGGGACTGGCTGTTTGGGGAGTAGCACAAGCAGTCCTGCCAAACAGGGCAAGATTGACAGGGCCAACTGTGAAGATGGGGGAGATGGTCAATCTCCTGCCCAAATAAATGAGGATGACGAAGCAGGCTACCAGCAACCAGGAACTGCTGCTGGTCTTCTTTTGGAAGCGACCTTAAGACCTAAGAAACGGAAGCTGGTTCTGCACATTGATTTGAACAACACCATCCTGGTGTCTGATGCAGTGACCAATCAGGACCCCAGGGCAGCTCTGAATTATTACCTGAGTACTGTCACCTGGGGAAAGGTCAACCCTGCAGGTAAGATTTCAGATTACTATATTGTTGGGAGCTTAGATTATGGTAAATGGGCCTTATCTATGGGCTTGGTCTCAAGCGGCATGCCTGGGGGAAGGCAGAGCCCATGACAAAAGGAATGGTAATGTGTTTTAAGGATAGTAGATATTATCACAGTGGTCCATCATGGTTAGGAAATGGCTGTATCCAAGCATTCATCAGGACTTGGAGGGGCCAAGTGTGCATCTTTTTAAAATATATTTTTAATAAGGTTGAAAAAATTGCAATACAACCATTATAAATCTGTTGTACAACATACATATCAAAACGTCTAGCAAGTGTGCCTCTGTGTGTGAAGAAACAGCAGTTCAAAGATGCAGGAGGAGAACAGAGAAGTGGACGTTCACTGCTGTGGGTTTCTCTGTCTTCTGCCCCACACAGTGCTGACTGCTGTGGGTTTCTCTCTGTCTTCTGCCGCACACACACATCTTACCGCTCAGGGAAGCGGAAGGCCCTTTACAATAATGCTGTATCAAATGTTTCCATTTCTGTGACAAGATAGCAGAAGTTCATTAACTGAATGGCGTTGTGGAAGAAATTTGCATCTTATATTTTGCGAACTTGGAAAAAAAAAACCTGTAGATGAAGGTCAAGAAGAAGGGATGCGGGGCACACCAGATATTGCAGCTAATAAGTGTCCAAGAAAGGAGATGGGAACAGGGTGTACTGGAAAAGGTTGTGAGATACTGTGTAGAATGCTGAAGTTCTGTCCAAAGCTGTCTGGCGGGGGGGACCTCTTGCAGGCCCCACTGTGTTTCTGAGTGTTCACCGCATCCTGTTGTCATGTTTAATTCCCCCCCCCCCCCCCCCCCTAGTGGGTGGTTACGCAAAGCAAGAAAATGGGTATTCTCATTCCAAAATCTCAGGTTGCATGAGAGCAATCTCTGTTGGAATTTACTTTGTCATTAGAGGGGTTTTTGGGGTTATACAATATATCCACAAGAAAATGAGCGGTGCGAGTGGGTGGGAGAAATAATATGGAAATGCTGCCCAGCCCTGCAAATTCTCCCCCTCTAATCTCTTGGGGGCTTGAACAGGCAGCTCTGAAGCATTTTCATTCATTACCAGGATTTAAAAGGTTTCCCCCCCTTCTGGTTAATTTCCAGTGCTGTATTTTTCTGTATACCTGGGGAGTCCCCTGAGTAAACGGAGACTCCTCCCTTGTCTGCGGCTGGCCTTGTTAGGCAGCTTCTGTTATCCACACAGGATTATTATTAGATACAGTGATTTGTTTCTCATTTGCCACACACAGTCTGTGCATCCTTTCTTCACAGTTGTATTTTGTTGTGAGGCTCTAGAGTTTTCAGCACTCATCATTTTGTACCTGGGCAAAGTGCAGCGCAACACATTCTTCACCTGTCACATTCATTGGGGTGTGTCATGTGAATATAATGAACATCCCCAGAGGGTGTGTTTGCGATGGAAGCAGCACAACTCCCCGACCCCACAGAAGGCTGGAGCTGGTTCCCAGGTCCTTATTTGTTTTGCATTTGAGACTTATTCGTGAACCCAACCACAAATATTGAGGATAACATAAAAGCTCTGAACCCTAAAATAAGGTTTGGAGCACCACAAATTATACACCCTCACATTCAGGGGACTCTGCCTTCTGAGAAGACACATGCTGTTTCCTGGTCTGAAACCCAGTTCTTGTGCCAGGGCCTGCAGCCATTGCAGTTCCTTAGTCAAATCTTCTTTGTGATACAAGCTTCATGGTGGCAACCCAAATGGAAGAACACTGCCAGAATCAGTGTTTGGACCAGGCACCACTGTATGTCTTCTTGGATGGGGCAGTGTCTGGAGAGGGTGGGGGGGGGAGTGTGATTTGGAGTGGTCCAAAAATTGTTTTGGGGTGCAGCTTGGCCCCCGTGTCCTCACCTCTGTGCTTATCCTGGGGGCACCCCACTGTAAAGCAGCTGGCATAAGAACCAGGCTTTGGACTGGGAGACAGCATATGTCCCCTTGGAGGGCGGAGTCCCCTGAATGTGTGTGTGTGTGGGGGGGGATGATTTGTGGTAGTCCAGAACTTATTTTGGGATTCAGAGCTTTTAAACTACCCTCAGTCTTTGTGGTTGGATTCACAAATAAGTCCCAAATAAGGAATGAATAAGGAACTGGGAACCAGCTTCAGCTTCATCCACCCTGTACTTTTTTCTTTTAAAAAATTACATAAAACTGAGAGCCAGTTTGGTGTAGTGGTTAGGAGCACAGACTCTAATCTGGGAGAACTGGGTTTGATTCCCCACTCCTCCACTTGCAGCTGCTGGTGTAACCTTAGGTCAGTCACAAGTTTTCTCAGAGCTGTTCTCTTAAGGGCAGTTCTTGAGAGAGCTCTCTCAGTCCCACCTACCCCACATGGTGTCTTTTGTGGGGAGGGGAAGGGAAAGGAGATTATAAACCACTCTGAGCCTCCTTTGGGTAGTAAAGGGCGAGGTATAAATCCAATCTCCTCCTCCTCCTTCTCCTCTTTTCTTGTTAGTTATTTGATGGCTGTGTGCTTCTCTGTTGAGCAGCACACCTGTCTGGAGTGCAGACTGGGAACAACAGTTGGGCTTACCTGTGGCAAGCTTAATCTCCATGTGTTGCTGGCCAATGTGTTCTTGGGGGAGCAGGGCCTTGTGGGAGAGCCAGAATCCATTTGGAACAAGTTTAGATCATAAGTACTCCTCCTTAGCATGTATGCAGTGTTTTTACACTGTTCAAAGTACATTCACCTTCCTCAGAGAAACGAAGATCCTGTAAGGCAGACCGGCACAACTATCCTCATATTGGCCTCCCTGGCTGGTTTCCTGTTTCTAATGTATTTGAAGAAAGTTTTATTGTTGTTTTTTACGTTTTTTGCTATATGCTCCTCATATTCCCTTTTTGCCTGCCTGACCTCAGACTTGCATTTTATTTGCCATATCCTGTGTTCCGTTTTATCAGCCTCACTGTGACTAGCTTTCCACTGCTTAAAGGAATTCTTTTTCAAAGTACATTCACCTTCCTCAGAGAAACGAAGATCCTGTAAGGCAGACCGGCACAACTATCCTCATATTGCAGATGGCAGCTTGCTTAAGGGCTCCCTTAGTCAGTTCATAGCAGAGGTTAGATTTGAACCTGGAGCTCTTTGGTTCACAGCTCACCCTCTTAACATCTGAGTATCTTAAACCTGTTTGAAAGGTGAGTCGTGCTTTGTCTGAAGTGACGTGTCCCGCTCCTTGATATCTGGAATGCTGCCTTGCTTGCTTATACTGGCACTCCAGCACGTGGGCTGCGGTGCTGGCGGAACAGCTCCAGCTCTTCCTCCTTTCCCAGCCTGTAGCTGCACGCGTGGGAGAATCTTTGATTTTTGACAGTGGAATTCCCTGCATGGATTCATGTGCCTCCTAATGTAGGCAGTTTGCTGACATTGAACCCCCTAAAAAAAACTGCTGTGCATTTGGCCTAAACTGAAGTAAAGGTTCTGTGAAGATACGAAAGGTTCGTTTTTCTGCTTTTTGAAAGAAAGATGAGTATTAGTGATGCGCCGTTGAGTCAATCCATCGAGCAGTGGCTTTTAAAAAATTAATTGATGTAAGTTTTTAGTCCACCTTTCTTGCTTAGACTCAGGGTGGATATCAAAGCCCGATCTCATCAGATCTTATTAGCTAAGCCGGGCTGACCCTGGCAAGTACTTGGATGGGAGACCTCCAAGGAATGCCAGGGCTGGGATGCAGAGGCAGGCAATTCCAAACCACCTCTCTGAACGTCCCTTAGTATTATGGGACAAAGAAGGGGAAGTCAGCAGGGTATTGTGATTAGAGCACTGGACTGAGACCTGAGTTCAAATCCCTATTCTGGCATGGAGTTCGCTGGGTGACCCTGGGTTAGTCATTCTCTCTCAGCTCAACCTACCTCACAGGATTGTTGTGATGATTAACAGAAGGAGGGAGAAGTGTGTGTGCCACCTAGAGCTGTTTGGTGGAAGTGTGGGATAAAGGCGAGAGAAAAAGAGAGAGGGGGAGAGAGAGAGGTACAGGGAAGCCATGTTTGCCTTGTAACGTGTAGTTCCGTCCTTGGTATCTTGCACCTGTGTCAGTTATATCCATACGGAATTTCTTGTGCCTGTCTGTAGAAGTGTGAATCTGAACTAAAACATTATCTGGCCGTCCAACTCTCTGCTGCAAGGCGGGACCATGTACCTATTATGCCTCCCACGATCCGGATCTCCTTATAGATCAAGCTCCTTTGTTCTCTGGGAAACTAACCTTATCAAAAGGGCTGCCGCATCCTGTATTTCAATGTACATTTGCATATTGTTGATTTCTTCAGAATTGGGTTACGGCTCTCTGTCTCTCTCTCTGTCTCTCTCCATCTCTCCCTCCCATTCAGGCATCAGGGATCCAGACAAACATATATTCAGCTGAAAGGGCTTGACTTCAGGTGCCCTCTGCCTGGACTGCTGCTGTCCACATCAGATATTCATAAATTCCACTTCACCTCCTCCTTTAAAAAAATATATATATGTTGAATAATATTTTGTCCATGCTGTGATTTTTGGCTTCACGGAATCCTCTTGATTCCCTTGGTGGGAGAGAGACAGTGTTTTACTGATGTTACATAGAAGCAATAAAATGAGCTTCACACACGAAAAAAAAAGGTTGTGGAATCAGGAAAAGAGTGGGAAGGGTGGGAAGTCAATATATACAGGGTAATGGAGGCACTGACCCCTGCATTGTTTGCCTTTAAACCCCCCCCCCCACCGTTTATTTATTTATTTGAGTGATTTTTTTTATCCCACCCTCCCCCACAAGCAGGCTCAGGGCAGGGTACGATGCAATAGCCAAACATGTGAAAACCACTTCATATAATTTAATTAAAATCTAAAAAACCCAGTTAAACTGTGCGATGGTGAGATGGTAACATAGGAGCCCAAGGGGTATAACTGTGTGGCTCTGGATGGGCCATCAGGATAATAATTGGGCCCGGCCACCAACCAATAATCCAAGTTGGTATCATAATTTGCATGGCTGGATGGGGCGGGGCTGGTTAGAGGAGGGGAGGCCAGAGGTGTTGAGGCACCCGCCACCTCAGCCAAAGGCCTGGCGGAACAGCTCTGTTTTACAGGCCCTGCGGAGTTTTAATAAGTCCCGCAGGGCCCTGATCTCAGCTGAGAGCATGTTTCACCAGGCTGGGGCCAGAGCTGAAAAAGGTGGATGTCCCCTTGAACTGGGGATTGCCAGTAGATGTTACTCATCCGTGACAGATGAGATCACTGATAATTAGATTAGTGTTGCCTGTGCAGGAATGTCCTGGGGAGAGAAGGAAACCTTTCGTGTACCTAGGACTGACGTGACACTGCAGAAGCTGCTGGCCCAAGTACAAATGTAGGTGCAGGAGAGCAGCATGCGCGTCTGGAGTTTAGCTGGCTTTTCTGGAAGCGGCTTGTCTCTTTGGCAGCAGATGCTGTTGGACCAGAAATGGGCAGCAGAGTTCTGGCTGCACAAACCATTCTGCCGTAGGGGGTCTCTGCCGCTACATGGGTGGACTGCAGGGGCAAGTGGGGCATTCCTCTGTAATAGGGCATGTGCTTTGCACCGAGAAGGTCCCAGGTTCAATTTCTGGCATTTCCAGTTACAAGGCTCAGGGAGCAGGTGATGCAGAAGGCCTTCTGCCTGTGGTCTAGAGAGCATGGTCAGTGCTGACCTTGAGTGACTGAGGCTCTGACTTTTGTATGTGACTTGTTCTTGAGTGTGGGATATCTCTCGTATGGCTGGCCGCTAGATCTTAAGCACAGGTCTGTTCAGACGGTTTGCTGGACTGTGAACGGTTGGCAGAGACAAGGGATTGGATCCAGACTAGATTTTCTGATGGCAGAATGGAACTTTCCTGCCCCCGCCCCCAGTGTAGCCACACTGATCTCTGCAGAATGCTGCTCCCGCGGGATGGGGGACCCTGGAGAACGTCAGGGGCAGGGTCTGCAGCAGGAGGGGGGAATCATTCGAAACTGCCAGTTTGGTCTGCGTCCAGTCCGTGGCATCTAGCACAACTTTAAATTTTGTGTAAATAAGCAAAACAAGTGGAGGCTCAGGCGGGTAAGCCACAGGCAAGCTATGCCGCGACGGTGAGACCACGCTGCTCCTGCTAAAAGCCTTTTGTTCTTACAGCTTTTAAACAGCATTCAAAGTAGAGCCAGGGAAGCTGTTTCTGGTTATAAGGTGTGAAATTTGGGAATGGGAGAAGGAACGCGAGGGGCCGTGGCTGAGTGGGAGAGCATCTGCTCTGTATGCAGAAGGTCCTGGCTCCAGGATCAGGGAGACCGGGTGATGTGAGACCCTGGAGAGCCACTGCCTTGCCTGGGTAGATAATACTGAACTCCATGAACACCCCCAGGGGTCTCATTCAGCTTCAGGCAGCTTCAGGCTGTGTAGGCAGGCAGGGCTCAAGGAAGGGGGTGCAGTGAAATGCGAGAAGAGGGGAGGGGTATTGGGAGCAGCGAGGAAGGAGGGAGCGACCTGTCAGCTGGCCCAGCAAGTGTCAGGGAGGCCCAGGAAGTGTAGGGCAGGGGTCCAAGCCTCCTGTGGTGCCAGCAGTGGCAGAGGGAGATGTTTCCAAAGCAGGGCCCTCCAATCTGCCTTTTCTCTTCCAGGCAAGTGGCAGTGGCTGAGCGAGTCCCCCTCGCTCCTCCCTCCCTGCCCAGGCGCCGTGAACTTCTACTCTCAGTTCGGCCGCGACACCGCCTTCACCGCCAAGCCTCTGGGCCAGCCGTTCCGAGACCTCCTCGTGCGCCACCTGAGGCTGCTGGAGTGGCAGGGCCAGCCTCACCCGACGTTCTCCATTCCCAGTGAGCAGCCAGCCAAGCGCTACCACTTGGTGCTGCCAGCCTTCTTCCACCTCCTGCAGAGCCTGCACCGGGAAAGGAGGCACTTTGCCATCATCTTCCGCACTTTCGGCACGGACCTGCCTCGCGTCCTCCAGGCGGTGTGCTGTGCCCTGGAGGGGCAGCACCCCCAGTTCCCTGCGCTGCGGGACATCCTGGTGAGTGGGCCAGAAACACACTGTGGCTTTTTCCCTGCAGCAGCTCCTCTGGACCTGGCCAGCTCAAGACCTTCTGATTTGATCGCGGTGGCTGCCTTATTAGGAAGCCAACCATTGCCAGTCTGGTGTAGTGGTTAAGAGCGCAGACTCTCATCTGGGAAAGCCGGGTTTGAGTCCCCACTCCGCCACATGCAGCTGCTGATGTAACCTTGGGCCAGTCATAAGTTCTTTCCGAGCTGTTCTTTCAAGGGCAGTTCTCTCAGAGCTCCCTCAGCCCCACCTACCTCACAGGGTGTCTGTTGTGGGGAGAGCAAGGGAAAGGAGTTTGTAAGCCACTCTGAGACTCCTTCAGGTAGTGAAGGGCAGGGTATAAATCCATCCTCCTTCTCTTCTTCTTCTTCTTCTCCCCCCTAGTTCACTCTGTCTCTGTAGATGCTTTGCAAGTAAATGGAGCATCAGATGGTTTAGTTTTCCATACAGCCCATCAACAGTCTTTTGGAGTTTCTCTGTGTGATTGCATAGATCTGGGTTTAGGCTTTCTGATTCTTCTCCCCTTCCCGACCCCAGGGGTTGTGGTACTAGAGGAAGACCTGCGAAAATCAGAGACATATTCTCCCCCTCTCTCCGAGAGGTACACAAAACTGCCTTGGGCATGTCTTTGGAAAGACTGCTTACGCATTTTATAAGTGAACAATAGAGGCCGCAGGAATAAAATCCACCGTTACCAAGTCAGTTCAGTCTGTCTGAAAAGAAATGAGGGGCTGTAGTAGAGGGCAGTGAGAAGCAGATCTCTGCGTTCAGAAGCAAGAAGGAATCGCACTCCTCTGTGTTACGGGGAGCAAGTAGCCCACTTCAGTCCAAGTGGCATCCATCAAAATCCCATCACTGTTTTCATTACATCACCCTGGCAGTCCAGTCGCTGCAGCTGAGATCCCCAGTTCAGAGGGAATTGCTGTATCTAGTAAGAAAGTGGCTGGCCCCATGCTGTTTGTGATAACAGCAGCAAAAGCAGGTCACTCACAGACAAAGCAGGGGCCTCACCATTTCCTGGAGATGGCCCAGAGCTCCAGAAAAAGCTGACTTTGTAAATCAATCAAAAGAATAAGGGGGTGAGGGGCAATGCTCCCTCTAAGCTGTGGAGTCTTGTGAGCAAAAATTCTACTCTGTGAGCTACTGGCATGAAAGTTGTGAGTGAGTGAGTTGCTTACTGCATAGATTAGTTTGCTCTGGAGCCCTCCTTCCTGAGCTAAGACAAAAAGGTGTGAGCCGGAGGCTAAAAAACTGTGAGCTAGCTCACACTAACTCAGCTTAGAGGGAACACTGGTGAGGGGCAAAATAGCTTGATGAGGACTGACTACACTTGAGACGCCCTGAATGTCGAAAGAGGTTGAGTTCATTGAAGGGGGATAAGTATGTGTGTGTGGGGGAAGGGGCATAGCTTCCTTAACCCCCTGAAAGTTGGTAGAGCCCTGAAGTGATTTCCAAAATTATTTATATCTCTCCCACCTCTCCACTGGGGTGCTTTACGAGCCTTGGCTTGTGCCCCTGAATGTCAGGTGTTGGGGACAAAAACCACAGAGAAAGACTGTGCCATCCTGCTTTGCTGGAACATCTGGCTGGCTGCTGTTGGGAACCTGATTAGGTGGGCCAGCTGGGCTCTTCTTAAGGCCTCCAGGCACTGTTCCCGAAAGCAGACCGCCTGCACAGGGAAAGAACCGCAAGGCAAGAGCCGCACAGGGAAGTTGTCGACCCTGACCCTTTCAAAGGGTCCCTTCCACTTCCAGTTGTCAGGCTTTGCGGAATGTCCCTCCTCCCATCTCTCGTTTGGGTGACAGCGGCTTTCTGTCCAGCATGATTTCTCCCTCTCCCTCCTGCTTTTGTTTCGAGTGAGATAATCACACTCTCTCCCTGGTCGCACCGGCTTCAAGTAATGTTTCTCTTATCTCTCCGCTCTGCTGCGATAGCTGCCTGTAGACCTCAGCCCGGGCAAAATCCGTTGCAGCAAACGGAAGGTGAGGCTGACCCAGGGAGCAGAGCGACTCTCCACCGAAGAGGGCGACAGGGCGATGTACACGTTCTTCAGCTCCAAGGAAGGCCTGTGTGGCTTCCAGGACCACTTTGACTGGTGAGGAATGAGTCACAGTGCTTGATGTCTGAATCTGTGATGGAGGTGGCCTTTCATTTGTGCTGCCATGGGTTCCATTAGCAAGGGAAAAGCCATCTCAGCCGGAGTATTAAAACAAAACAGAACGAAGCCCTCTGGCTTCGATAGGCAGACTTCCCGGATCCCTGCATCGCCCAAGAACGTGGCTCATTAAAGAAATCCCATAAAAGGAACCATTTCTTTGGCACCGAGCAAACTACAATCAGTCTTAAACAATTACCCATCTATTTGCCGTCTCCAGCCAGACTGTTCCTGCTGAGGCACATTTATTTGCTTCTTTATTTTTCTTTGCCTCAACTGAGCCTGCATCTGCTAAGTTACTTGGAAGCTTAAAAAAAAAAAAAAACACGTCTTGGTTGATTGTTCAAGGCCTGTTGGGCGCTGCTGTGTCCCCCGCTGGGACTGAGGAGTGTGCCCCTCCCCTTTCTCTTGGGGAATGTGACCCCTGTCAGTCAGAAAGGGACACTCTGGCCTAAATCCAGGTAGATCTCATGGGGGGTGGTGAGGGAATAATTAGCTGGTGTCTCCTGCATGGCATTTCCTGCTTTGCTGTGTGGCCAGAGTCATCTTATGGAGTCTGTGCCGGCTAACCTGCTTGTCCCTGGTACAGAGAAACGGATTTGGACTAATCTCTTAATGTAAGCAACCAGCCAAAGCTCAGCATAGCCAGGTTGCAATTGTCTATTTTTATTGCCTGGGATAACTGCTAGGCGGCTTGCCCTGCCCAGAAGGCCAGGCCTTCGGCAGATGCTGCCAGTCCTACCTGCGACCTTCTCTTGGCAGCAACAGTTCCGTGCTGTGCTCTTTGCACAGATCCATGGGACCCAGACAGCCTTCATTTGTATACCGTAGGTTCTACATTAAACGTGACAGGTATTGGATTCATCTGCAGTTTTGCCTCTCACATAATTTAGCTTCCAGTGATGCAACATCCCGGGAATTTTTTATTTTTAAAAGTTAGTTTCTGGCCCTTGTGGTTGTGGAGAGATGCTTAGAAGCAGTTTGGCATTGCTGCAAGAGGGGGAGGGCTTAGAATTTGGGGTGGTGGTGGTTTGCAGTGGCCTGGCAAAGTCCCCCAGCCATTTTTGTTGGCTCTTTTTCCCTGTCCTGCCCTAACCCTACCTCACCAGCTCCAAGGAGCACTTACCTTGATGCCCTCCATTCTCCTTTATCATCTCGATCCTTGCCTGAAATGACCAGATTTTATGAGACCTTGAATTCTGAACGCAAAATAAGCAGTGCTGTAATAAGTTCAAATGTGGGAGTATATTGGCAGAGTGGAGATTTGTTTGTACCAAGATGGGAATGTGATCTCCTCTAATGCAGCCTCTGGTCTCCTCCTTTCCTTTCCCCCCTTGTGGTAGGGGATGTGCGGGCACACGAGACCTCATCCAGAGGCTTTTGTTTAGTCATCTGGGAAAGTCGTCCCTGAGAGCTCCTTGTCACGTGTCTCCTTGTGTTACAGGTGGGCCAGCAATCAGTGCTCCAGCCGAGGCGGGAAGCCCCTCTGGATCGATCCCCATGACGCAAACATCCATCACATCTGTATAGATGACAACATTCGGCTAAACGATTCCGACACCATCGTCCATCCTCGGGTATCTTTATTGTCAACTTTAAAAAATATATAATCTGTTAATTTTTAAAACTGTACTAAATCTTCCATTAGCAGGAACTGTACAGAACACAGTCCTGTGACAGTAGTGTTAGTGCCACTGGAAGATGAAAGGGTGATAGGCCGGGGGGGGGGGTATATCCTTGCCATCTGTTTTCAACAAAGGAAGAGTACCTCTAGTGCTGGGGTGTTTGGGCGTGGGGTATGCAGATCCCCCACTTTGCTCCCCCCCCATGCTGTTCATGAGGATCTGCTGATCCCACCCACCCCGAAACAAAATTTGGAGGCGCTGCAGTGGAAGAGGGGGGAGGGAAAGCCCAGTTGCATGAGCTCTGCCGTGTTTGTGGATCTCATCAGGTACCGGCCACTGCGTTTAAATAAAGGGAGGAGAGAGGTGGGGAAAAGGGAAGTAAGGTTTTCTTTCAGATACGTGGCTCCATCTTAACTTTATTGGAAAGTTAAGATACCATCAAGAAGGACCATCATCAGGTGGCTGTTACAGGACAAGGCCATTTACAATCTCGTAGCCTAGCCTACCTCACAGAGTGGTTGTGGAGATAATAGTGTGTGTGTGTGTGTAGGGGGGGGGGTCATGTAAGGTGTCCACAGCACCTTGGCAGGGTGGGATAAAAATAATAAATGAGAATACAAAATAAATGTGGGAAGAGGCCAGGAATGGACTCCAGACATTGCAGGAAAACATCCACCTCCGCTTGTCTTCTTGTCTGGCATATCCGATGCTTTGTTCGTATCCCACCTTTCATTCAATAATCCCTGGGTGGCATACAAGCTTCACCTCTGCTCCTCCTTTACCCTTTATCCTCACAACAACCCTGCAAGGTAGGTTAGGCTGGGAGAACAACTGGCCCGCGTGTCACCCAGCAAACTTCCAGGGCTGAGTGGAGGCTTAGGCCCTGAGTCTCCCCAGTCCCCTAGTTCCATACGCTAACCGTTATTCCATACAGGCTTCTTTGGCCACAAGGATGCGCCACAGCTGTATGTAAACAGCCACAGTTCTTTTAGTTTCACCCTTGTCTTGCTAATCACCCTCGGGGCTGAGAGAGCGTGACTCGCCCTAGGAGAGCTTCGGGGCTCCGTGGAGACTGGCAACCCCATCTCCCCTGTCCAGGCCCGAGCGTTCCCTCTAAGCTGAGTTAGTGTGAGCTAGCTCACAGTTTTTTAGCCTCCAGCTCACAGATTTTTTGTCTTCACTCAGGAAGGGATGGCTCCGGAGCAAAGTACTTTATGCAGCAGCCAAATCGCTCGCTCACAACGTCAATGCCGGTAGCTCACAAAGTAGAATTTTTGCTCACAAGACCCCGCAGCTTAGAGGGAACATTGGTCCAGGCCCGAGTGTTCTCTCCTTGCCCAGCTTATGAATACCTCTGCCTGGCTTGGTAAGGGAGATGATGATTCAGCCCTGGGAAGGAGGGGCTTGCTGGCTACCTGGCACCAATGCCGGTCCCTGTTGGCTCAGAGAAGGGTTTGCCGGTACAGAACGGGCAAGCGCCGCCCAGTACCTGCTCTTGCTGCGGAGCTCCTCCTGCCCTCAGCTGGCGTGAGTCATTCCCACTAGCGGCTGGAGCCCAGCAGCCTGGCTGGCTCTAAGCAGCCCTGAAGAAGCACCGTGTCCTTAAAGGGGCAGCTTTTACACTGGAGCACGCTCTGAAGCGAGGGAGGGGGGGGGAGGCAGCTTTTAGCTGTGGCGGCAGCTTTTTTTGTCTTGGTCAAAAGCTTTTCTTTGCCAGAGGAGGAGGGAACAGGCCGGAGCGCTGGCCAGCAGGCTCGGCAGCCTAAGGAGCAGCTGGGCAGTGAAGGTTAATTGGATCTCGCAGGAATCCAGCCGCCACAATAGACTCTCGAGACTCTTTGTGTAGACAAAGCATCCTTATTGGCCGCAGGAGGGTGTCGATTTTCTGCCCTTCCTTTGGTCCTTACAGCCAATCAATAACACTGGGTGAGCTCTCTGGGGAAGACAGTAAGAGCTTCCGGGAAGCGTCTGGCATTCCCCGTCCCCTGCCGGGTAGAATGGATTGCTCTCTGTTGGCCAAGGTTTGAGAGAGGAAAACATTCCTCATCTATCCCTGGCCTTTGTGTGTGTATGTGTGCGCGCGTTAAGTGCCATCTTCAGACCTACGGCAAGCCTCTGAATTAATGACCTCCAGAAGTGTCCTGTTGTTAGCAGCAATATTCTCAGGTCTTGCAAACGGAGGGCTGTGGCTTCCTTTATTGAGTCAATCCATCTGCAGTTGGAGCACAAAATTTGAGTCCAGTGGCCCCTTTAGGACCAACAAAGCTTTATTAAAGGTATGAGCTTTCGTGTGCACATCTGATGAAGTGAGAGTTCATACCTGGAATAAAACTTTGTTGGTCTTAAAGGGGCCACTGGACTCAAACTTTGCTCTGTTGCTTCAGACCCACACGGCTACCCACCTGGATCCATCTCATTTTGGGTCTTCCTCATTTGCTGCTGCCTTCCTGGCCTTTGGTCAACTGATATTTTAAGAGAGCAGTGCCCCAAAGAGAGCTCCTGGCAATTCTGTGCTGCCTCACTCCTGCTGGCTCCAAAAGCAGGTCTGTGTTGGCTGAGAGGCCCTGCGGATTTCGAGTCCCGCAAACAGAGCCTTGATTGTGGGGCTGCGTCTGGCTTCTTTTTTCTCTAGCCCAGGTTCACCTCTGGCACTGGAGCATGTGGGGCCTGCCTGCACTCCAGCCTCCTGTCCTCCCCCTGTTGTTACTCCGTCTGCTTACTTGCTGAGTGCAGGCAGCTAGCCAGATTTTAGTGCACGAGGGGATGCTGCTGCTGTGCTTAATAGCTGCACAGAAGGAAGAGCTTCAGGAAATTCCAGGCCAAGGGTTATTAGGAAAAGGGGTTGAAAAGACAAAAGGCCAGAGTTGTCATGCCCTGGCGGTGCAGGCCCATTTGGGAGACTGCGTACAGTTCTGGTCAGCCCCTTCTCAGAAAGTACAGTGTATAGCTCGGGAAAGATGCAGAAAAGGGCAAGAAAAAGGATCAGGCAGTTGAAGCATCTGCCCTGTGAGGAAAGGCTAAAGAATCTGGATTTTTTTCAGCTTAGAAAAATGATGATTAAAAGTATTTGGGGGGAAGTTGTCAGTTCCCCCCTCATCACTGGCAGGGGATGGGGGGGGGGGAGAGTAGCCAGATCCCTGCTGGGAAACGCCTGGAGATTAGGGGATGGAGCCTGGGGAGGACAGGGACCTCAGTGGGGTGTACAGTGGCCACAGAGTCCACCCGCCACAGCATCCCTTTTCTCCAAGGGAGCTGATCTCTGCAGTCTGGAGATGAGCTGTAATTTCAGAGGATTCTCAGGTCCCACCTGGAGGCTGTCATCCCTAGTTTGTGGGGGTTATAAAATTATGCATGCTGTAGGTAGAATTCTTTCTACCTCTCCCAGAAGACTAGAATTCATGGCCACTTGATGAATCTGATGGTCAGTAGATCCATAACAGACAAAAGGATCTATTTATTGGCACAGTGCAGCATCAACTTGTATAACTCAGTGCGACAGGATATGCTGATGATCGTGAACATAGATGGCTTTAAAAGGGCATTAGACAAAAGTAAGGAGGGTAGGTCCATCGGTGGCTGTTTGGCCTCTGTGTCCGGCTTATGGGCCTTCCAGGGCATCTGGTTGGCCACTGCGGGGTGCACCCCTTGCTGATTTGAGCACTGCTTTTCTTGTGTTCTTATGGCTGCTGCAGCTTCTCCAGCAAGCCCTCTGTGGACAGAAGTAGCACCTACCAGATTCAATATGACAGAATCCTATGAACCTGGCAGCCTTAGGTACTGCTCACCCTAGAAATGTACGGCGAGAAATGCTTGTTACCTGTGTGACTTGGCATCACCTGCTTATTTGTACTCAAACAGAGGTCGGGGGAGGCAGCACCACTGTTCAAGCAGAGCAATAATGCCCGCAAAAGATTATCACGAGTGTCTGTGTGTGAGCGCACTGGAAATGAGGGAGGGCCTCGTCTGCCCTGGGCTACATTTTAATAACTTCTCTGGGCAAGGTGCTGTGTTTGCCTCTCCTTCAGCAAGGACTGCTTTCTGGCTTTCACTGGCCTTTTAGCTAGATGGAGATCAGTTAAAATTACTGGGAGGAATGATCACTTTTTTAACCTTTGGTTCCTACTTGTTCTATTTGAGCCATCACTTGCTAGTCTTTGGCCCTGGTCACACGGAGCATTTGCCCCGCTGAAGGCACGGGAGTCCCGCGGAGTATCCGGGTGCGATCACATGGGAACATCCGGGAGGCGTAGCACTCCCGTGGCGAACCCGTGGCACTTTCAGAGGCAGTTGACCTTGTAATCCCAGAGCCAGGAGACAACATCAGGGGAACGGCGCAAATAGCCGCCCCCCCCCCGCGCGCGCGTTTTCCGGCACGTCTGGCCGGGGCCTTGGTTTCCCAAAGGCTGGCCTTAGATTCTGAAACCTGAGCTGGTCATGAGGCATCTGTTGGAATGTTCATCCCTATGACTGCATCTTAGTTTGCAGTTGGAGTCCCATTCCTCACCAGGTATTGTGGCTCAGACCAGCTTGGAAATGACGTGCTCCTGCATGGGATTCCAGTCTTCTGATCCCTTGTCACAGTTCAGGAACTAGTGGTGGTTACCCACTATCAAGAGGATTAGATAGATTCATGGAGGATAGGTCAGTGGCTAGTAGCCATGGTGACTGAGGGGAACCTCCACTTTCAGAGGCAGTTGACCTTGTAATCCCAGAGCCAGGAGACAACATCAGGGGAAGGCCTTGGCCTCTGAGCCCTGTTGTTGGCCCTCCAGAGGAACTGGTGGGCCACTGTGTGAGACAGGATGCTGGACTAGATGGATCCCTGGTCTGATCCAGCAGGGCTCTTCTTAACGTTCTTATGTACTCAATTATATTTAAAAAGTCAATTTATTTCTGTCAGAAAAAGGGTGAAATTCTGATGCAAATTAACTCTCCAACAGAAAATAAAGGTCGATTCAAAGTGGTGCATCCTTACTGTAAATTTTATTTTAAAACGAATAGCAGGTTAAGGAACAAGCAGGGATAAGGTGAAGCAGTCTCCATCATCTTTAGGCTCTCTGCCTTCCCCTCCCACTCCAGTTTGTTCTTTTGTAAGCCAAAGTCAGGAAGTGTTATCAAAACATCCGTGTTTAGACTTGCCTTGCAACAACCTTTTACATAAACGGCTTTACCAGAAGAAGGTTGTCTATTGTGTGGGCATCCCCGACCCCAAGCACATACAGAAGTATGTGTTCTTCAGCAACGTGGATATAGCTCACCAGGCTGAAGTGAGCGGAATAAGTCTTGTCAAAGGTCACCATGGAAATTTCTTAATACCCAGAGAGGCTAGGAAAGGATGTCTGCCACACCTTGATATGGGAAGGAGAGCTGCGGATTCTCTAATAAGAGAGGGGCATTCTGTGCATGCTCAGGCCTTCTGTGCTTTATTTCCCATGTTCCAGGAGATGTAGTTCTAGTGCTGTAGCTTGGCCAGGCCCGGGCTCCTGAGTTTTAGGGATTCCAGTTGCCAGGCTCCGAGGAATCACTGTAGGGAGGCTTTGCCATCCCGAAAGTGAACGAGGCAAGGGGTGTGGCTTTCGATTCCACTGCCACTCCGCTTTAGGTCCCTGGTGTTTTTCTGTGCTTGCTGGAAAGATCTGAGCAAGTCCCGTCTTTCTTTCTTTTTTAAAAAAACCTGACAGATGTTCTCCGGGCTGGGAGACACCAGAGCCCAGATGATCCCTACCTCGGAGCTGTATGACATTTGCCTGGTCCAGACAGACCTCCTGGAGGCCATTGCCGACGTGAACTACTTCTGCCGCTGCATAAGAAGGTGTGAGGAGAACTACGAGCACTACTTGGCCGGCGCTAAGGGTCCTGTTTAGCAACAGGGCTGCTGGGGGGGGGGCTCTCTATGGAGGAGTTTTGGAGCCCTCTGCACTTGGTGGTGCATGATGCGGAGCATGCAAAAGAAGGACGTCCGCTGTTTCTTGCTACAGGGCATTCATGTTCCCAGCTGGACTGCTGCTCTCTGTGTACGTCCCAGTGGAGTCGCTGCCCTCCTCGTAACCTCCCCGCTTGTACTCAGTGTAGGATATTCCAGATGCTCCTTTGGAACTGCTAGCAATCCCATAAAGGACTCTCATTCTTTGGCACAGTCTAAGCGGAGCAGCCAGAAGTGGCTGCTTTGGGGCTTTCCCCTCTTATTTCAGACTTGTTCAAAATCAGGGTGGTGCACGGTGACTTCCTTGCCAAGGATGGCCGGTCCTTGCCTCCAAGAGCTTACCGCCAATCCTCCTGTATCTTGCCTGGCCACGGTGCAGGGGATCTGCTGGTCTGTTACACACTTTCCCCCCAAACATTAAAATTGACCCTGACTGCTCTTGTTTGTTCGTTAGTTGTGACAACCGCTGACCTCAACACGTCTGGCACGGTGCTAAGCAGGCTCGTGGCAGGGAGACATTTCAGGGGTGAATGCCTGTGTCTGGGTTAATTAAAGTCCAAAGGCCGCATGGATGTTGGCGATTTAGGGAATTCTCCATCTGTGTTCCTTCCTGTGCATTAACAAGATCACCACAAGGTGCTGTGGACCTCAGATACCCGGTTTGAAAGGCTCTGTCTGTCAGGCCTGGTCCTGCTCCCATACTCACATCAACGTGCTGAAGATATGGATTGGAGGGTTCCACGCGGAGTTCGTTATACACTGGAGTGATTTGGGGATCACTCTGCTGCACTTTCGGCTCCTAGCTGAGCCCACGTTTGATTGCATCATCGTCAACTGGCTTCTGCAGTGGCTCGGTAAATGTCAAGTGTGCACCAAGCTGGGTGTGCAGTGAAGCCGTCCCCGAGTGCCTCCCAGCCACGCCAAAGCCAGGCACCCAGTCATAAAGATCCGTTCATGTGAACCGGCCCTCCTTCAGTAGGGCATCTGCTGGCACCTGTCTCCCACCAGTGTTACAGCCAGGAAGTAGACTCTTGCGGGGCAGCTAGAAAGTGCCATGTAAACAGTGCTTATTGTTGATTTGCTGTGGTTGCTGTAATCGTGTTTGAAGCCAGTCCCTACGGCAGCACCCAGTATCTCAATATTGCACAAGGGATTCCTTTAGCAGTATTGCACAATGCCAGTCCCACACAGGGAAAAGCAGGGGCAGGCTGGTCCCTGCAAAGAAGACAAAAAGTGAAGCCTCTCTTAAGGCTGCAGTCGCTTTCCTGCTTTGCCGGTCTCCCTCCTGCCGGTCCTTTGGAAGACTGTCCTTCCCCTTTCTCTCATCCCTGACAAGTGAATGGCAGCTCTCTCTCGCCGAAGCCTCTCCTCATCAATTATGAATTCAGTTGCCATCGAGACTGAGGGATTAAGGCAGCTGGAGGCTCTGCTTTTGCGGCTCGCCGTGCAAGACACCTGTGCAGAACTGGCACTCCACAGCCTGTGGCTCTTGTGCAGTGGGAGGCTGCAGGGCTTATGTTGGGATGCCATTTCTGAAGCACCTCCCGGTGTGCAGAGCCACTAATCTATTTGGTGTGTATATGCCGAGATGATGGAATAAGTATCACATCTCTGGCTACTAACTTGTGATTCGTAGCTGGAAATGAAAATGCAACACCTTTAAATGTGAGAGGTTTTCTTCTTTCACATACTTTACCCATCTACCATTAGGCAAGGCCAGCCTCAGCACCAGTGTTCCCTCTAAGCTGAGCTTGTGTGAGCTAGCTCACAGTTTTTAGCCTCCGGCTCACATATTTTTGTCTTAGCTCAGGAAGGATGGCTCCAGAGCAAACTAATTTATGCAGTAGCCAAATTGCTCACTCACAGCTTTAATGCCTGTAGCTCACAGAGCAGAGTTTTTACTCACAAGACTCCACAGCTTAGAGGGAGCATTGCTTCGGCACGCTGTCAGATGCGGCAGCTGCCAGGGCTTCTGGCAGGGGCCGCTGCATGCCACTGCCTATGTGACTCCTCTGCTGTCCACCGACCCTTCTTTGACCCACTTCCTTGCAAGCACTCTGCCATCCATGCTTCCAGCCATATGCGCTGCCCCGACTTGTCAGAGAAGGGGCATATGGGTGGTACGGGCATCGGTGGGTAGAGGTGGTAAAAGGGCTTGTGAGGGGGTGGGGGAAGGATGCACAGGTATGTGGGTCAGCGGGTGGGAAGGGAGGCATGAGGGGGGGCCTCAAGGTAGCAGAGGAAGAAGAGAAGAAGAAGAGATTGTAAGCGGGGTATAAATCCAATCTCCCTTCCCCACAACAGACACCCTGTGAGATAGGTGGGGCTGAGAGAGCTCTCTCGAACTGGTCGTGAGAGAACAGCTCTGAAAGAACTTGTGACTGACCCAAGGTCACACCAGCAGCTGCATGTGGAGGAGTGGGGAATCAAACTGGATTCTCCCAGATTAGAGTCTGTGCTCCTAATCGCTACACCAAACTGGAGGGGATGGCCCACTGAAAAACTGGAACCAGCCCTGCCATTAGGTAACGAGCCAGAGGAGGTAGTCGTGTTAATCTGTTGCAACAAAATTGTACAGAAGCCTTGGGACACCTTAAAGACCAAGCGGTTTATTATGTTTCAGGTGGGCAGCCACATTGATCTGCAGTAGAAAAGCAGGATTTAAGTGGCACCTTAAAGACCAACAAGATTGTCAGGGTATGAGTGTTGGAGAGCCACAGCTCCCTTCGTCAGGTATACCTTCATATCTGAGGAAGGGAGCTTTGAGTCTCGAAAACTTAGAATCCTGAAGATTTATTATGACATCGTGGACTGGAGTCTATATACCATCTGTCAAGCATGAACAAGCAAAGGGTATCAAAAGTAGTTGTCTCTCCCCCTGCCTTTGAATGTTACTTCGGTGATAGAGTTCTAAATGCTGTTGATGATTGTGAATAAAGAAACTAACACAGTAATTAATCAACAGTGAAATGAGGTAATGTATATGTACAATAATGCAATTTCGATTCCACTCCAAATTAAGTGGGCACTGAGGCCAAATCCATTATCTTGTTCCTCTTCTGATAATGACCACAAAGGCTTAACCATGGGGCACGGTAACACTTGCTCCCTAGCAGAGGCCTGTCGCAGCACGATCCTGACCCAGTACTCTTTTTTGACAGGCAATCTATTCAAGGAGGCACTTGAATTTGTGAGTTAGTTAATTTGGCACAGGTCTTTTTTAGTAGCGTGCACATTGCAATTTGTTCTTTCTGATGTTGGCTATCCTTCCGTCTGGGGGGAACCTCAGTTAAAAATCATCATCATTTATATATATATCATATATCATTTAGGACATCTGCCCTATCCTTGTCCTTTCTCTTCTACCCTGCACTGACTTTCTTCCTTCCTTGTCTCAGCCTGGAAGCTGATTTGTCACTTTCCCCCACTCTGTGATGCATGCTGTTCTCTTTGAATGTTGTGCCCAAATCTTTCTTCTACCAAAGGGTCTGTAATGTTTCCTGCTGTAAAGAGTGTTGTCGGTATGAGGGCCTAAACGCATGTTAGATTCCTCCCCCCCCCCCACTTTCTCCCCATATCTTGATGATCAGACATGTACTATAAGTTCTTTGGTCAGAACTCTGTTCCCAGCATGGGGAGCTTAAGTCTTTTCTCCCCCCATTGTCTTCTCAGTCTGAAATCTCCCCCCCCCCCCACTGCCATTTGCCTCACTGGGGATATTGATATAGAGCCCATCAGTACATAAAAGTTTCCTTAGCAGGATATGACAGTTCCCCAGGGTCATTTCAGGTCAGGAACACAGTTTAACTACCTCCCCCCCCAGCTGTCTGCAGTGGTTCTGATCCAAATTGGCCCGTGTGCCTGGGAATTGAATTCTGAGTACAGAACTCACTGTGCCTTTAAGACCCGGGGAGAATGTGAGGAAAACATAAGCTTGTTTGTACTGTGAGCCCAAACATTCTAATTTTGAACCAAGAAAACTTGAATTCTGTCTGCAAAACATGCAGATTATATATTTGTGGGCAAATTAAACCTTGCGAATTAAAACAGTCCTCCACTTTACATCATTAAAGCACAGCTAGCTCTTTCCCATTATGAGCGTGACTGAAGAGCGTGCGCGTTCAAACAGAGAGAGCTATTTTATTTATTTCTTTGGAAGATTTCTATCTTGCCTTTTTTTGTCTGTCAAATTGCACTCAAAAGTAGCTCGCTACCTGAAATTACAATGTGGCATAATTATAGAACAGATTTGTAAAAAGTTTACAGCAGCAGAATGAAAGCAGTAATAAAAATAGAAATACAATTTTTAAAAGCAGCAGAGATCAAAAGTTCTAGCTAGTCATAAAATCAGGAATCTGTGGGCTGTCAGTGCGTCAGGGCATAAAAATGCCAAGGGTTCTCTGGAATAACATAATGATCACAGCTTTGCAGAAGGGAGGCGGCCTGGTGGATCTTTTGGAGAAGGGAATTCCACAGTCTGGGGCTGTGTCATCTCTGTTAATAAGCATAGAAGTGTAGAGCCAGAAGGGGCCTCCAGGGTCATCTAGCCCAACCCCTATGCAATGCAGGGAAATCACAGCTACCTCTCCCTTGCTCTCCCAGGGACCCCCTGCTCTATGCCCAGAGGAAGGCAAAAAACCTCCAGGATCCCTGGGCTAATCTGGCCTGGAGGAAAATTCCTTCCTGACCCCAAAGTGGCAATCAGCATTACCCTGGGAATGTAAGAAAGGGCCGAGAGAGGAGAACACTGGCTCATCCCTTCCTGCCCTCCCACTAGGATTGTCAGTTCTGGGCTGGGAAATACTTAGAGGTTTGGGAGGGGGTGGAGCTGGAGGAGGACAGGGTTTCGGGAGGGGACTTCAGTGGGGTAGAATGCCACTGAGTCCACCTTCCATAGCGGTCGTTTTCTCCAGGGGAGCTGATCTCTGTCACCTGGAGGTCAGTTGTAATCCCAGGAGATCTCCAGCCACCACCTGGAGGTTGGCAGCCCTACCTCTCACAGAGCTCCCCTGGCACATTCTGGCCCTTTCATTTTTAGAGTTGCCAACTGTTTTCTCTTTTCCTGCTCCACAGGCAGAGGTTTTAAAGGGTGAACTTTATTTGCCTGCCACGGAGGTGAAGCGATAGGAAAGGATTCTTGTGAAATATTTCTATGTGATTAAAAAGTACAGGAGCCCTGCTAGGGAAAAAAAGTTGGTTCCAGTTCCTGTGGCTAGCAATCTTGGTAAAGAACCTGCACGAGGATCTTCGAAGAAGGAAATACCAGGACTGGTTTTGAGTCCAGTGGCACGTTTAAGACCAACAAAGTTTTATTCGGTGTATAAGATTTCGTGCGCCCTCCCCACACCCACACCAAGAAGTCTTGTGGCATCTTTATTGTGGCGGGAATTTGTATAAGCTGCACCTGAGCCAGTTTGGTGTAGTGGTTAAGTGTGCTGACTCTAATCTGGGAGAACCGGGTTTGATTCCCCACTCCTCCACTTGCACCTGCTGATGTGACCTTGGGTCAGTCACAAGCTCTGGCACAGCTGTCCTTGAAAAAGAGCAGTTTGTGTCAGAGTTCTCTCAGCCCCACCCACCTCACAGGGTGTCTGTTGTGGGGAGGGGAAGGGAAAGGAGTTTGTAAGCCGCTCTGAGACTCCAAGTGAAGGGCGGGGTATAAATCCAATCTTCTTCTTCTGACGTCATTAGATGCAATGAAACTTGTCCCTACACTTGTGGGAAGAGGGTGTCACTACCAGGAGCACAACCGTATGAAGGAGTTGAGGCTGAGAGGTGTGTGGTATGCAAGAAGTGATGGTGGCCAACAACTTTGGGGGGGGGGGATGTGGGCTCTGACCTGTTCAGGTTTTTTTTTTAAACTCCGGTTTCTGTGTCTATAATGATAACTTTAAAAAAAAATTAGAAATCAATATCCAATGAGTGCATGACCACCTTTGGGCACGGTTTGTGGCTCAGTGGAGGAGCCTCTGCATGCAGAAGGTTCCACGTTTCGTCCTGGCATCTGCAGTTGAAAAGGGCCAGGCAGTAGGTGATGTGAAAGACCTCTGCCTGAAACCTTGGAAATCTGCTGCCAGTCAGAGTAGACAATGCTGACCCTGATGGTCTGATAAGGCGGCTTCCTGTGTGTTCAACACTGAGGGCTTTAGAAAAAGATTGAATAGATTAACGGAGAAGTGGAGATATCTCAGGGGCTGTGGTGGCTCAGTGGTTAAGACGCTGAACTGCTGACCAGAAGGTCTATAGCTCGGCAGTTCAAGACACGAGTGCTGCATGATGGAGTGAACTCCCGTCTCTGGTCCCAGCTCCTGCCAACCTAGCAGTTCGAAAGCAAGAAATTGCAAGTAGATAAATAGGTACCACTTCGGTGGGAAGGGAACAGCGTTCCGTGTGCCTCGGCGTCTAGTCATGCTGGCCACATGACCATGGAAACGTCTTTGGACAGCGCTGGCTCTTCGGCTTGGAAACGGAGATGAGCACTGCATCCCTAGCGTCAGATTTGACTGGCTTTCGAGCAAGGGAACCCTTTACCTTTAGAGATCTCTCAGCAGCTATCATGTAGTAAATGGAACTTCCATGTACAGAAGCAGTCTGCTTCTGAATAACTGATGCCAGGGCCCGATGAGAAAACTGTCCCCCCCTTCATGTCTTGCTTGTGAGTTCCAGTGGCATGTGACTGGCTGCTGCTAGAAATAGACTATTGGCCTAGAGGGACTTGGGTCTGATCTTAACATTCGTATACACCATGTGACTTAGAATTCCAGACTAATATCGCATAATGCATGCAATATGTCTAACGTCTCTGGTTTACAGCTCATCGCATTCATGCAAATTATACACATGCTATGGTCATTACCTATCCCTAAGTATACAAATTAGCTGCTGCCTTCCAGCTCATTATGAATTTTTAGTTTGGCTCTTAGCTCTGAACTGCTTCCTCACCTCTGGCTAACAATCAAAATATGACAGATGGACCCAACAGCCAGAAAGGAGCCTAGTCAGAATGTAACTGGATGTTTAATACATGACAGTGCTCCTATAGGGAGATATTGTGTATTATCAGGACACGGGGGGGGGAGTTGTGGGCAGTGGCTGCTCCATCTATGCAGTGGCAACCCAATAAACATTCTTAACATGACGTGTGCATTTCTCCTTAGGAAAAGCAGAATGTATATAGTGGTCATTTAAGCCTGGAGGAAAGAGTCGCACAGAGTGAGCATCCCGTCTCACACAGTGGCCAACCAGTTCCTCTGGATGGCCAAACAATGGCATAGAGGCCGAGGCCTTCCCCTGATGTTACCTCCTGGGTCTGGGATTCAGAGGTTGGGTGCCTCTGAATGTGAAGGTTCTCCTCAGTTACCATGGCTAGTAGCCACTGATAGACTTATTCTCCATGATTTGATCTAAATTCCTTTTAAATCTGTTTATTCCTGTGGCCATCACTCCATCCTCTGGAAAGACTGGGCCACATAAAAAATAAATAATTAGGGACTCATTTGGTGCAGAGAGTGTTAGAAGTGGAAAACAGGTAATGGGGGTGGGTCTGCTTCTATTAGTGTACAAGTAAGCTGCGGTGGCTCAAGTGTTTAAGACGCTGAACTGCAGGCTGTGGAAGGTTGGTAGTTCAGTGGTTCGAGACCTGAGTGTGCCGCATGACGGAGTGAGCTCCCGTCTCTAGTTCCAGCTCCTGCCAACCTAGCAGTTCGAAAGCAAGAAATTGCAAGTAGATAAATAGGTACCACTTCAGTGGGAAGGTAACAGCATTCTGTGCACCTTGGTGTTTAGTCATGCCAGCCACATGACCATGGAAACGTCTTCGGACAGCGCTGGCTCTTCGGCTTTGAAACGGAGATGAGCACTGCAACCCTAGAGTTGGATTCGAATGGCTTTCGAGCAAGGGAACCTTTACTTTTATGCTAGGGATGCCAGTCTCCGGGTGGGACCTGGAGATCCCCCAGAATTACAGCTCATCTCAGTTCCCCTGGAGAAAATGGATGCTTTGGAGGGTGGACTCTATGGCTTTGTACCCCACTGAGGCCCCTGTTCTCCCCAGGCTCCATCCCATTCTAGGAGTCTCCCAACCTGGATCTGGTGACCCTATCCTCCCAACCCCCACCAGTGGCTGGGGGGAGGACATGGCAACCCTGAAGTAGGCAGATATCACTGTGTATGGTCATGACTATGTAACCATACAGCGTTCCTTGCACCTTGGTGTTTAGTCATGCCGGCCACATGACCACAGAAACGTCTTCGGACAGCGCTGGCTCTTCGGCTTTGAAATGGAGATGAGGTCTGCAACCCTAGAGTCGGACTCGACTGGCTTTCGAGCAAGGGAACCTTTACCTTTTATGGTCATGACTATTTAACCATACCTATTGTATATGAAGTATGAGCCTTGAGTCTCTGAGAAAAAAATATACCAATTATGCAAGCTTTAAGATGTGCACAACGTTCTGCGAAAGCCGGTCTCTCCTCCCAGACTTCATCCCTCAAGCCTCTTGAAGGTCCTACCCAGGCCTGGGGCATGCCCAGTGGTCTTCCTCTACCCAGAAGCCCTATAGGGGTGTGGCCAAGCCTGTGAGAAACCAATCACGCTGACTCAGCAATTTCTGCCTGGTTACTCCCCCAGTGGAGCTTCCCACCTGTGGATTGTCAGACTTCTGGTTGTCAAAGGGCCAGCTGCCACTAGCTGCCTGACTCTTAAAGGACCAGCTGCCATTGATCAGCTAGCTGGGGTGAGGATCTTTACAAGATGCCTCTGTAAACACACTGGGCCTTGTGGACGCCGGGTTTGACCAGGTGGGGGCTGAGAAACGGGGGGTGGGGTGGTATTGTCTCTCCCACCCTGCAGACTATGTATGGTGCTTTCACACGCACTAAATAGCACACTTTCAATCCACTTTCAATGCACTTTGCACCTGGATCTTGCTGTGTGAAATGGCAAGATCCACTTGCAAACAGTCGCTGAAGTGGATTGAAGCTGCATTATTTAGTATGTGTCAAAGCGCCTAATTATGAGTATGCCAACTATTTAGCTATTGCTTTTCAGTTGCCCAAATCCACTTCTGAAGCAGTATTTACCAGCTGGTGTAGGTAGCAACACTGCTGCCCAAAGGTACAATGTGATGGGTCTACGGTGGGCCCTGGGACACTGCCCCTTCTGCCGGATAGATAAAGCATTTCCCTGGGGGCTTGGCCACAGTTTCACTCACAAAGCAGTCACTGCTATCAGAGGAAGAGGGGAGGAAAGAGGGTGGCAGCAGTGATGGGGGTTGGTGGTTCACCTGGGCGAGTAAGGCCTGGTTTGTGCATGGAGCTGAGTGAGGTGACTGAACTCTGAGATGGCAAAGTGGGTTGTACCACTTCAGACTGCTTGAGAGGATACCACATTTTAAAAAAAAAAACCTCTGCCGTGTAAGAACTCCCTACAAATAGAAAATGAGCACCTCAGGAGGCAAAACATTTATAGGGAATTATGACTTCAGGATTCAGTGTGAAAAAATGTAATCCTCCCCACACAGTCTGAGGTGATACAGGCCTTTGTGTTCCCTCAGCACTCCTCTCCCTCCTTTCCATCTCATTCAGACCAGATGTAAGTGAGAAGCCAGGGGGAGGAGGAGCAGCAGCAGCTGCCATTTGCTTTCTGCGTGTCACGGCTCCGCCTGGGAAAGGTTGGATTGTTTGTTTAGAAATCTTCGGAGGCCTGCTTGAGGCAGCTCACAGACTCAGACATGGCAAAACCATAAAACAGCATAAAGACTGATAAAGTTAATCAACTATTAAAACCCCAGCCAGAGGATAAAAATAGCTCACAGTTTAATGGTCTAAACATGATCTTTCTGGAAGAGGCCACAGACTACAGACTGTTGCTATTATTTCAAATGATCAGCCCCCTTAGCTGAAGCCTGGGAGACATGATGTGTTCCGCGTGGCACTTAGAAGAGAGGACAGAAGGTGCCAGGTGAGCCTCGAGTGGGAGGGCATTACAGAGGCAAGATGCCACCATTTAAAAGGCCCTGTCTCTGGCTGCCACCTGCACTACCTCTGCAGGCCGGAACCACAGAGAGCAGGGGCTTGGGAGGAAGATCTTTATTGGCAGGCTGGACAGCCCACCCTCTTTAGAGCCTCAAATGTATGAACCAACCCTCGGAAACAGATGCCCAGCCACTGCAGACCTTTCAACATGGGGGTGATACGATCCCAGTTCCCAGTCCTGGATAATAGCCTGGTTGCCACAGTTGGATCAGCTGAAAGTTCTGGTCCATGTTTCCTGAACAGCATCTTGCGGAGGGATCCCAAATCCCAGAACTAGTCCTCCATCCGAGGCAAACAAGATCTGACCCACTGGGTACAACAACCCCCCCACAAGTGCTGCTGTGTAAGCCCCACTGAAACCAGGAAAGGGGGGGGATCTGCAGATCAGCCGCATTCTTGCACGGCCCCCTCCTTCCCTTAGTGTGTGAGAGCCGCCTTATGGATGTTCCAGGCAGCTTTGCTGTTCCAAAGAAAGATGCAAAATCACAACCTACACAATCCAACCTATTCTGTGTGTAAAGTGCATGTTCAGTCACAGGCAACCTGTGAAGCCTTCACAGAGTTTTCAAGGCAAGAGATGAACAGAGGTGATTTGCCATTGCCTGGCTCTGCTCTTCCTCAGTGGTCTCTCCCGTGGAGGTTCTAATCGTGGCCGAACCCTGCTTAGCTTTCTAAATCAGATGCCATTGGGCCATCAAATTTATTACTGAGGAAACTCTGCGAGCTTTCGAGCTACCTAGAGTCTGAAGAACTCGAAAGCTTAGAAGTTGGCCTTAATAAATGATATTACATGGATTTTGTTTCTAATATACTTACATTCGATCAGGTTCTGAGGAGCATGGCTCTCTTACCCCAGAACCGACGGGAGGGAGAAACCTATTCGCCACCAGAAGATTTCCTGCATTGTTAAGAGCAGCCTTCGGTCTTTTGCTACTAAACTTCCATTTCTTTTCTTTTTTTTAAAGTATGTGATTGTTCCACATACGAGCGATTTAACGATTCAGAAAACCGAAACGGTTCCGAAATGCAAAAACGGCCAAACGGGGAAAAGAGCCGGTCTGCAATTTAACACGCATTTTCTTCGCCGAGGCACAAGCCGAGCTCGCTAGCGGCTAAGCGCGACGCTCATTGGACGGCGGCTGTCCCGAGCGCGCTGCGCCCGGGGGAGGAAGAGTTAAAGCGGTGGGTGGTGTTTCCCTCCCTGCCCGCCCGCCCGCCGAATTGAGAGACTGGCCGAGAGTGAAGGTGCCGGATTGGAACAGGCAGGGGAGCGGCGCGCGGGCAGAGGGGAGCAGCAGGAAGGGGGCGCAGAGTTTTCCCGGGCTGGTGGAGGCGCGCAGTCCGAAGAGGTGAGCGCCACGCGTGGTGCTGCAGTAACCCGGGGCAGTCGGGTGGGTTCCGGGCTCCGCGGAGGAGAACTCTGGTCGCCGCGCTCCCGGGCGCCTCCAACCGCCACGGACGGCTCCTCCAAAGTTTCCCTGGTTGGGAAGCAAGAGGGGGGGAGTTGGGCGAGGCCGCGGGGAAGGCGAGCGGGCGGCGTGGCTCGAGACAGTGGAGAGGTGCTGGGCCGCCGGGCGAAGCGGGCGGGAATGGTTGGAGGCATTGCGCATCATCTCTTCGGGCCCCTCTGCGGTGTAGAACCGAGGAGGGGAGCTGGAGTCCGGGGGTGGGGTCGGCCGGCTGTGAAAGAGGAGCCAGCTTGACGCTGCCGAGCCGGCCACGCGGCTTACTCAAGGGGTTAAAAACTCTTGCATGTGTGGAGGTGGGAGGGAGAGGGGGGGGGGCGGCGAGGAACGCCGTACGGTGGTAGCACAGTCCTTCCCAGCTGCACATCTTCTGCACCCCGAAACTGTTCTGTCCTTCCTTTGCCGGCGTCGGTTCTGGGGCGGGGAGGGGGCATTCATTCCCGGCATTTCCTCTGAGGATCGGAGGCTGTGTTGAAAAGGCATGGGGGGGGGAGAGGCTAAATTGAGCCGTGCTTCAGTCGCATGACCCGTTTCCCGCGGACTGTAACGTGTGAAGGGTAACGGAGTTGCTTTTCTGGCCGCTCTGCTCTTCTCACGTGTGCAGCCGGAGTGCATGCATATTTACTTGAAAGTAAGTCCCGTTAGGTGGGCGATCAAAAGTCTGCTGCCACGAAGCGTTAAATTGAAAGTGCAAGTCGGGAAGATGAATTATCTTAAATCTATAAGGTGCCACAAAGCCGCTCTTATTGTCGCCGGCGCTATGGGGCCCCTGGAAGTTGATGCTACCATCTGTTAGGTTTAAGATGCTGCAATATTTCCCTCTTGTTTTTGTTGTGGAAGACTCCTATAGTTGCCCCCACTGGAACTTAAATCAATGTCACTTTTTAAGATGGAGATCAGTGGCAAGACAGGCCTGAGGTTTCTGGCTGCCCTGTCAAATTAAAAGCTTGCGTACTCTTATGCTCTATTGCATGCTGAACAGCATCACAAACATTACATGGCCAAGACTTGACCCAGGGCGCATACGAGTTTCTCATTTTTTAAATCTGCCTTTTTTATCTCCTGTTTTCCACAACTGTGTCTGTCTGTGCCCCAGGCACCTGGAGGGCGGCTGTCCCTTTCCTCTGTGCATTTCATGAGAAGAAGTGTTTGCTGCTTGCTCAGCCTTCCACGCTGATCTTCTGCAACTGTTCCAGCAGTGCTTGCTTTGCCTGAAGCAAGTGAATCGATTCCCCCCCCTCCTCCTAATAGTTTGGGAGAAATCACGGCTGCAGGGGTGTGGGAGGCAACTGAATAATGTTAAACTATGTTTGCTTTTGTTTGTTGTGTCTTCAAAAATTCTTCAAGTGCAGGACAAAATATCTGCTTGCTCAGAGGCTTTGTGAGGGCAGTGGGCCGGGCAGAGTGGGAGGACTGTCACAATGGGGAGGAGTTACGGCTAAGGAGAGCTGGAGGGGGCCTGTGGCTCAGTGGTAGAGCATCTGCTTGGCATGCAGAAGGTCCCAGGTTCAATCCCAGGCATCTCCAGTTAAAAAGGCCAGGCCAGTAGGTGATGGGAAAGACCTTTGCCTGAGACCTTGGGGAGCTGCCGCCAGTCTGAGTGGACGATACTGACCTTGAGGGACCAATGAGCTGATTCAGTATAGAGCCAGCTTCATGTGGTTCATGTGTGTTGACGTGAGAGCATCTCCTTTGCATGCAGAAGGTCCGAGGTTCAATCCCAATTCAAAGGATCGAGAAGTAGGTGATGTGAAAGACCTTAGAGGGCTGCTGCCTGTCAAAGTAGACAACACTGACATGGATAGACTTGTGGTCTGACTCAGTATAAGACAGCTTCATGTGACCTGTAGCCTAAACGATACGCAGCCATTCAGGACTCATGGTGGGGGAGAGTGTCGTTCACTGGCCTGGGCTCCTAGACAGCCGGGGTCAGTCTCCTGATCTGGAGCAGTCCATCTGAGCAGTGAGGACTTGGCATTATGGTGGCTGTACTTTTCGAGGACCACAACCACTCTTTTCATTTGCCCTGGTGTTGGTTTTTGCAGCAGAGCCTGCAGGCCAGCAACCAAAAGCTATAGTGGGGTGGGGAATAAGGGAGAACAGCCAGGACTTAAGTAGGACTTTGTTTATTAAAAGGCTTCTATCCCACCATTCGACTGAGACTAGTTGACAGTACAGGAAACAGCGGTGCAAAAACCTGCCCGCGATATCATAATGCCGTCAATAAATCCCGCTGGGAGCTCCAAAAATTCTCCTAGGGAGTTTTTGACCTGGGACCTAAAAATGGTTGAGAACAAAGTGAAGCAGTCCTGTAGTTATTTAAGTGCATTTAAAGACAAGTTTTAATTTTACAGAACGTGCCTGGTGCTTGTCAGTTGTCACAGCGCCTTCCTTTTATTAGAGAGAAGAATAACGGAAGGTAGAAGCAGGGAGATCTTTCTTAGCTAGCAGTTGGGCGCCACAAGTAGAGTTGCCAACATCCAGGTAGCACCCACTGTTGCAATTCATCTCCAGCTGACCAAGATCAGCTCCCCTGGAGAAAATGGTTGCTTTGGAGGGTGGACTCTGTGGCTTTGTATCCAGCTGAGGTCCTTCCCCTCTCAAAACCCGGCCCTCCCCAGGCTCCACCCCCAAAATCTCCAGTTATTTCCCAACCCAGAGTTGGCAACCATAGCCCCAAGGCTAGAGACAGCCCTTTAAAAAAAAAGAAGTTTGGATGCCAGGGTGGAGCCTGGCATGTCCCTGGAGGCAGGCATCTCTGTGTCTTTGGTCCTAGGGCCAGAAGGCTTAGGCAAGGAAGAGGCGAGATGGAGCTCTGCTTGAACTTTGGCTCCTTTTAGAAATCATTGAGCAGTGAGTCATGCACATTTGTCTGCTTGAGAGGCGCTGCAGCGTATATGTGGAGAATTTGGGGAGCGGCGCGGAGTCTCTGTGCCTTTGGAGATAGATTTGCCTCCCTCCCGTCTGCCTTCTGTGTTTTTACTGATAGGTACAGATCATTTGAAAGACTTCCTCGTAGGTGGGCTTGATAATGCCAGAGATGGTCCTCAGGCCGCCAGCAGATGATTCTTTCTCCTTGGTTCCCCGGGCTTACTTAGATCCAGGGATTAGCCGGCAAATGTATTTCTTTCTCTTTTTTCCCCCTGTGCAGGGCTTAGCCTTGGAATATGTGTAGTAATGAAAGGAATGAGTGCTTTGATCACATGCACAGAATCTCCCCCCCCCCACACACACACACATACAGCGTAACCAAAATAAATACACATCTGAGGATTGACAGCAGAGCATTTAGGCCAGAAGGGTAGAGCTTTTCCTCTCCTCATCTCTTCCTCTCCTGGTTTTTCCGAGTCCCAGGTGGGGGCTGAGGGATGATATTTCTCTTAGAAATTAAGTGTTGATTGGCTCAGTAACCCTGTGCTGGTCACCCCCTTGGAGAGCGCAGTGTTTTTTAACTGGATTGGTAGTGGGGCAGGAGTGAAGGTTAGTGAACACAGAATACAGTCTGGGCAACAGCGAGGCCTTGGAATCGTCCCTCCTTAAGAAGATTTTTCTCTGCCCCTGTCTTCAGCGTGCTTCTCTTTTGTGCAATACCTTCCCATTGAAAACCACTGACTTCTTTTCAAGTAAGTGCGTGGGGGGGGGGGCTTGTGCTTTTCCCTCAGTGTCCTTTGACTGCAAAGTGTGGGCAGGGCCATGTTTTTGAGGGGAATGAAGAAGCACTGCAAGTATCGAACCTTTGCCCCCTCCATTCCCGCCCAGGGAGATGCTGTCCCAAAGCTCTGTTTTTAAGCCGGGAGGCAAAGTGATGGGAATAGCTTTTCCCTGCACCCTTTTTGGTCATTGGTTCCAAACCGCTCTCCTTTCTCCCCGTTTGCTTGCTTTGCTTCTAACGTGCCTCCTTTTGCCAAAGCCCCTATTATTAGGTTGCAGATTGCATACCTCCCTTCTAAAAACTTGTTAGAACTTCTCGGCTTAAAACTTGTTACGAAACGTGGAGGTGCCTAGTCTGGCGTCAGCCCTCTTCCCTTGGAGTGAATTCAATTTGTTCTGTCAGTGGGGGCCTGGCAGCTAGGCAGCACTCTCCTTTCCCCCTGGATTTAAGACGAAAACACCTCCAGCAAGGAGCACGGAACAAAAAGGTATCTCAGCAATGCGTGTTTGCTGAGATAACAGGAATTTGGGGCGGGGGGGGCTTACCAGGGAAGAAAAGCAGATGGAGGCAGGGGTACCCGGCCCCACCATGCTTGTCAAGTCTCCCCTATAGCTGTTCTCTATCCCGGCCTCTTTTGCCATGTTGAGGGGAACTCTGGTTGCTTGGTAGGGATGGTCTCTGGCAATGGATGAGGAAGGCTCTCCCCCTGCCGAACGGAACCGTAGAGCAGGGCAAAGAATTGCGTGGGCTCGCCTAGCAGCCAGAACCGCCTTGTGTTTCACTGCCTGCTCCTTGTACCTGATTTATTAACTAGGGCGCTTGGTACCTCTGGGAAGGCCCCTGCCTTGCTGTGCTTGCTCAGCAAATGTGAAGGTGTCCAGCATCTCTCTTCCTTTTTCGTTAGCCTTCCAGCCCCTTTTGCAACGGGCGTCAAAATACTGAAAAGGTGGCCTTGGCGTTGGGTGCCCTCTCCACTAGGATCGCAGTTCTGTGCCCTTGTACTATGCAGGCTTGGAGTGCCCGGTCTCCTTGCGGGGCTTGGCATTCTAGGGCAGGGGTATCAAACATATGGCCCCCGGCGTGGAACTGGCCTGTCTGGGGCCCTTCTCCAGCCTGTGAGCCACTGGTGCTGTTCTCAGCCCATGAGGGAAAAGGAGTGGCAGGAGGACAAAAATCGCCCCCCTGGAGCTTTTGGAAACAGCCTCTCCATCAGGCCTTCCCCTCAGCCCTGCCACTTCTGTGGTAAACGCAGGGGTGGGGGCATCTGGGAGAGCCAGGCTTCTGTGGGTTCCCCAGTAAATCAATTGCTTTCACTTCTGGAATCAATTACTTTTCTCTGTATTTTGAGTAAAAAATAATATTGTTAATCGGGTTTGCCAGTGTCCTTTATAAAGTTTATATCTCCAGTACTTAACCTGGCATTACATTTTATGGCACACATGGCCCGGCCCAACAAAGTGACATTTAAGGGAAGATCTTGTCTCACTGTTAGTTTTCTTTGAGGGGGTGAACAAACATGTGGGCAAAGGGGACCCAACAGATATTGTTTACCTTGACTTCCAGAAAGCTTTTGATAAAGTTCCTCATCAAAGGCTCCTAAGTAAGCTCAAAAATCATGGGATAAAAGGACAAGTGCTAAATTTGCGGATGATACGAAGTTGTTCAGGGTGGTGAAAACCAGTGAGGATTGTGAGGCACTCCAAAGGGATCTGTCAATTTTGGGCGAGTGGGCGTCAACATGGCAAATGGGGTTCAATGTGGCCAAGTGCAAGGTGATGCACATTGGAGCCAAAAATCCTAACTATAAATACACGTTGATGGGGTCTGAACTGGCAGAGACTGATCAAGAGAGAGATCTTGGAGTTGTAGTGGATAACTCACTGAAAATGTCGAGACAGTGTGTGACTGCAATAAAGAAGGCCAATGCTATGCTGGGGATTATTAGGAAGGGTATTGTAAACAGATCAGCCAATATCATAATGCCCCGATATAGATCGATGGTGCAACCTCATTTGGAATACTGTGTGCAGTTCTGGTCACCACACCTTAAAAAGGATATTATAGCCTTGGGAAAAGTGCAGAAAAGGGCAACTCGAATGATAAAAGGGTTGGAACACTTTCCCTATGAGGAAAGGTTAAAGCGCTTAGGGCTCTTTAGCTTGGAGAAACGACGACTGAGGGGTGACATGATTGAGGTTTATAAGATTATGCATGGGAAAGAACAGGTAGAGAAAGAGGTACTTTTCTCCCTTTCTCACAATATAAGAACTCGTGGGCACTCCATGAAATTGCTGAGCGGTCGGGTTAGAACGGATAAAAGGAAGTACTTCTTCACCCAAAGAGTGATTAACACTTGGAATTCACTGCCACAGGAAGTGGTGGTGGCTACAAGCATGGATTGCTTCAAAAGGGAATTAGATAAGCATATGGAGCAGAGGTCCATCAGTGGCTATTAGCCACAAGGTATAGATAGGGACTTTGGGGCAAGTGATGCTCTGTCTTCTTGGAGCTTGGGGGGGGTCAACAGTGGGAGGGCTTCTAATGTCCTGGCCCCACTGCTGGACCTCCTGATGGCACTGGTATTTCTGGCCACTGTGTGACACAGGGTGTTGGACTGGATGGGCCTTTGGCCTGATCCAACATTGGCATCTCTTATGTTATGTCAGATCCATCCCTCATAACAAATGAGTTTGACACTTATTGTATGCTCTCAGGTTTCTCGTCCCAATGGCTGTCAGCCCTCGGAAACCTATGAGCAGCATCTGACATGCTGGCGGGTGGGCAGGAAGTGGTTTCTTCAGTGAATGAGGACTTTGCCCCTGCCGGACACACATGAGCACACATGAAGCTGCCTTATACTGAATCAGACCCTGGGTCCATCAAGGTCAGTATTGTCTACTCGGACTGGCAGCAGCTCCCCAGAGTCTCAGGCAAAGGTCTTTCACATCACCTCCTGCCTGGTCCCTTCAACTGGACATGCCTGGGATTGAACCTGGGACCTTCTGCATGCCAAGCAGAGGCTCTTCCGCTGAGCCACAACCTCCTCCAATTTTCTCCATTCCACTTCATTTTCTCTTTGCCTTTGTTTTCACATTTCTTTTGTTAAACGAGCATGGTGGAGTGGTTACAGGGTTGGGCTGGGGGACACACAGTCATGAAGCTTGCTGGGTGACCTGGGAGTTAGTCACTCTTTCTCAGAGTTGTTGTGAGACTAAAATGTAC